GCATATAATAAACATGTATTGTTGACCTTTGGAATTTTACAGTACAATTTGCTTTTCTTTACTCTGCTTTAGCCAGAAACAATTCTTTCCTCCATTCATTAGTTTGGAATATCAGCAGTCGTCGTTAAAGCATACTTTATCTTTTGAAATCAATAGTTTAAAGTTCAGTATGTTGCATGTAGTTTATCGCTACAGTAAAAGGACATTATGAGAGATAGAATTGGCAATGCAAAACCTTTCATAACACTTTTAAAACAAGCCTTGTGTAAGGATATGATAAAACAAAACCACCCAATTCTGTTCATTTGAACGTTTTAGTAATCGTACTATGCGTGGCCTATTGATGTCCGTTTTCCGTGTTACACATATTTAACGATTCTCTACTGACTTCGAAACAGTCACAAGTAACCAGAATTTAAATTGATCGGCCAAATAGGTATCAACCCTATTTAAAAAAGATAACTGGAATATTGAATAAGATAGAAAAAAAATAAAAACGGTTTTCTATGTAATTCCATCCATTTCAAACTATTTTAATACCAGTCAAATAGATTCCCTTGCGGTCATTTAAGAAATTTTAAGATAAGGTTAGCCTCCGTCAAACTAATTAGCCACGCACTCGTTAAACTAATTTAAACTGATGTTAATTGCTTTTAAACTTTGAAGTGTCCGCCTCCTTGTAAGGAGATAATATATCTATCGTCAATCCATTCCAAACGTTATCGATTTTCCTTAGATAATATACCTCCAACAAATATTTACAATAAAAATGAATTAATGACAAATACTTATCATTAAATTAAGTAATTTATAGTTATTGATGCAAGCAGCAAAATAGAGACTTTATTGAATAAAATGTAAAGATATAAATAATATGATTTAAATTTTTCCACATGCAGTATCAGTAAATTCCGTAACTTATATTTAATGATTATTTTCAGTATTTTCCAAACGGGTCCACATACCTCTTTTTACGTGTCAGTTTAATGTTTAACCTTTCTATCGGTCGACCCATAAACCTAATTAGATTGACTTATGAATCAAATGTTAGACTTGATTTTTAGGCGAACTGAATATACTTGATAACTGTCACTGGACGTTACACTAACATCGATCAATTTAAAGGAAACGCTTTATCAAAACAGGATCTCCCATGTAATTGAAATGAACCAATTTAAAAATTATACAGTTTCAAACTTTTTAAAATTAATATCAAGACATACGTTTTGTTGTTTAATTTATCAAAAACGATCTGTAAAGCATAAGGCCGTGTTCAAAAACGATCTGTAAAGCATAAGGCCGTGTTTGATAACAAAGAATCCGGAACCGGGTTTGAAAAATAACACGTTATTTTATAAGAAACCAAATCCGGATTTTCTCGGATTCAAGAAACGGTGAAACCTGCCCTGAAACAAGATTTATCGGATTCAAGATTGGCGGGGTTAAACCGGTTCGCTTATCATAGACCATTCTATCTATAGACATGTGTTTTTGGATAAACTCATCAATGAAGTGTCCAGTTGTGGTCATTGATCCGGTTAAATATGTAAACACTATATGACTTTGTGTATTAGCAAAGTAAATAGTGAGACACAGCCGTTGATTTTCTAGTAAAACGGAGTTTAAAAATATGTTAAAATTGACACATTTTGGAAATTATTGATATAAAAGTATAACTATGACGACGGCAGTTGCTAAATATACATATGTCACTATTCTATAACGTTTTGATATACTTTTTTTTATTCCTTTTATTCCGAATGCATCTTTTGGGGCGAGGGGCAGGGACACGGGCTTTTTACCTCCGTCACGCGGGTTTTTGTTTCAACATTGTCACCAATTTTGAAAAACCGGATTATGAAACCGTATCTAGTTCTCTTGTAATCAAACACGACCTTAATACTAGTAAACATGTTAGCAAATATAAACTGATTATTTAGCATGAATAATTAAAACAGTAAAGCCAAAACATATCGTTTTAGTTTATTCATCATGACATCTCCATGTCAACGTGCAACAGTTAAGATTGAAACGTATCGACTCTCCAACCGACAATTGTGAATACGTATTTAGATGACCTCTCCTAATACACAGGTAATGAATGGTACCAGTTTATTAATATTACCAATCTATAAAGTCATCTCGCGATACTATTTCTTTCTTAAACTATATCAACACGTTTGAAGAGTCTCATACAAACAACTGTCATATATTAACTCGAATTCTAATTAATTTATTGATCATCGTGTATTCTTTATTTAGGAATGTACATACATAGTCTACTTTATACGTGCAGTCTGGTGACCTTTACAGTTCATTCGTCAATTTTCGTTTCAAAATCAAGAAGAAAGTGATTTCGTATTCTAAAAAACCAATAAAAGCACTAACTATACTAAGTGCGTTGTAATAAAAATCTAACATATCTGTCACGTGCACTGTACTGGTGTTTTCATATCACATTTATATTGGTCAAAAAACATATTTGAATAAATTTTTCTTGTCAAAACCTCATTAAACGGCCTTTTTATGGTCAAATAATCCAGCGCTTGTCGTAATCTTTGATTTTTAATTAGATATCGGTCACGTGATCGTGATGACGTCAGTGGATCCAAGCTGAGAAAATGTCTCAATATGGACAAAGTCGATCACATTTCTGCATAATTAAACAATGGACGGTGTTGACAGCAGTTTTCAAGACAACTCTCAAACTTTAGATATTCGACCGTATCAGTTTGAGCCGTTACTTGTTGAACATAATCAAGTAGAAGATATAATTTCGTCATCCGAAGAGTCCGACATTGACGATCTTTCAAGCAATGCCGATCGCCTTGTAAACACAAATTGGTTCGTATGATAAATATATTTGAAACCCAACACTTTCAGTGTTTTGTTAATGGCAGATGCATTTATAACAATTAAGAAAATATAAATTTCTGATTTTTTACGATGAATATATCCATCGAAAATAGTTCGTTTCACTCTGCCCACAGGGGTATCCCTGTGCTCTGCCCTGGAACAACGCACAGGCACTATATATACATCGACGTTTTTCTTCTTCTGAAATACAGTTACAGCTTCACTTATATACGACATTACGAACTGTCAAAAATAATAAATGGGCAGTGGGAAGAAAATATTATCCCTGTTATCTATTGTATAAACAAAACACCTGAAGAAGTTTTGGGGTAAACCAGTCACTAGACGTTCTGTCAATAGTAATAAAATTTTGGCAATGAGAAGAAAATAGTGTCCATATATACTATATATATATATATATATATATATTATTAGATTTGATGAGCATAAAATACCAACGTATATATGCATTAGACATTACCACATTTATATGATATATTGTTTTTTTTTATAGAGTTTAATTCAAGATATATATACCTCCACAATCAATTCATTTGAATGGGGACACATAGTTGCCCCCCCCCCCCTTTTTATCCTGGGTTAGGATCCGCACCTGCTTATGATCAACCTTGGCCAAAAGTTTATTTGTGAAACATACTCTTGCGTTTTAACATTTTCTATATTGTGTTTTGTGTACTGCTGGTTTCATATAAATAAGTTTTTTTCTTTCCATGTTATAGGTGTGATTGTGGAAACTGCCATTCCATGACAACAGCAGATGAATGTGTATGCTGTTCAGACATATCAGCTGTTAGCTATTTAATGCAACCAGATGACTTAAACTGCATCACAGAGCATGAGATCTTTATTGCAAACTGCTTAAACCGTCATGTGTTGCAAGTCAGCATGTATGCATACATGGAGCATGTTGGTCCCTTTGACGACAATGAACCCATCAATGAGTAAGTTTTGAAATAAGTCATGATAGTAGTAGGCTAGGTTCTTGTTCATGATGTACCAATTTCAAATCAGTTATTGTTTTATTGATCCATGTTCATGATGATCATTCACTGTTTTCGAGACAATACTAGTGACTTCAACATTTTTAATTGTACATAGAGTAAGTAAAATCATTGACCATTTAATAAAGAAAATAACATGAATTAAATAATAATTTAATATCACAGATAAATTCATAATTCAAATATCACAGATACAATTTGTTTATACATAATATATTTCATAGCATATTGAACATGTAGAAAGGCCCAAGTTCTTTCGTGTCATTATAATAATATACATAGGTAGAAAATATATACATGGCAGTACACCTTAGGTAATATTTATCAATCTTAAATATTTCTTTTTAACCATAATACAATACAAAATGACAGGTACAACGGAATTAAAATGTTTCGGTCTTTTGAAAATGAAAAAAAAAAATGTTAAGAAATTTTTCTTTCTAACTTACATTGTATGCTTGATGAATATATTAACATATCAGTTTAGAGTAAGCTACTGAAAGTTGTATATGAATATAATTGATGTTTTGTTTTGTAGGAAATATAGGTTTATGGCATATAGAAGATTTGTGCAGTGGATATGGCATCGCCTTGGACGTCACAACAGAAAGATCTTGCCTGCATGTGTTGTGAAAAAAATTAGGGACAGTTTCCCATCTGAAGAATACTGTGGCTTCAAATATGCAGTTGTATAAATTAAGTTGGGACTGATTACTTTTTGTAACTATTTATTCTGAATGAAACACTTTTATTAATAAAAATATTGACTTTTTGTTTCTGCACAGTAGATCCTGTTTTAAAGAATAAATAAAATAATAAAGGTGTACCTTATAACAAGTTTTTGTTTTTCAATGCTAAACAAAAATCAAGGTTGACATTCCTTCACAATAATCAACATGAAAAAAGCCTGCAAAACTCATCAATATAATTCACATGTAAAAGTTTACAGTGAACATCCACTGCATATCATACAAAATCATTACACTTGTTCTGACATTCTTCCTGTAGAACAATCTAACTGCTAGTCAAATGGATTTTTTTTTTATTTATCATAAGACTAGGAAGACAAATTGATGTTAACCCCCTCCCCCACTCTCCCACCCTTTATTACAGATATACATTTTAATTACCTTTAGCTACATGCCAAACATCAAAAAGATGTTTTTTGTCGCCCTGGCTGATCCTCATGTATTTTTTGATGGATGAGTGTCTGTCTGTCACAACTTCTTTAATATTTACATAGTCTTTAAGAAATCCAAGAGCACGCTTTAGGCCCTCTAGTTCCATGTGCGTTGAACCTTTCACCTCGTTGCTCTACAAAACAAAATAAAATATATGGTATCTCAAATAGACATAAAGTTCTAATTATATATATATATATATATATATATAAGAGCATCTAGAAAAATTTATAGAATCAAAATAGAAATATAAATTTATTTGATTTAGTTTTTTTCATAGTATTTTTCCCTCATTGTTGAAGACTCACTGTACAGTGACTTATAGTTTACTCCATGTCATCTGTTCTCTGGTTTAGAGTTGTCTCATTGGCGATTATTCCACATCTTCTTGTTTTTACAAGATTTCTGTTAATTTTTATTTAATTTTTTGAACACATTTAAATGATCAAAGCATATTTTTACCTGTATCAATTGGAAGTCAAGGATTTTCTTTGTCTGTAGATCCATTAAGGTGTACGGTCCATAATTGGCAGAATAACCTGGGGAATCACACCTTGCATCACCTAATATTACATCAGACCCTCTCAATTGCTCTAGCAAACTGGACTGTTCGGCATCCCAGGCCATGGTAGCTGCTGGTGAAACATATAAAGACTGTAGTCCGTTATAAGTCCTCATAGAAAACATCTGGACATTGAGGTGGTCAAACATCCTGAGAACTGATGTTGCATTGCACCCACTCAACATAATGGCTGTAGCTGTCATTAAGTTGCTCCATGGTAGGTTGTTGTGGCTGGACTGGCTTTTCCAGATGGACAAATGTCCATTTACACAGATAGAGTTTGTCACAATAAGGGTACCCTTGGATACTTGAATCACTGGAACAGCTTCACTACTGCAATATCTGCACACGGACAATAACTCTGCTAGGGCTGACTCGCTTACAAGGAACTGCTTCTGTTCTTCAGGGGTTGCTTTTGCATTAAGACGGTAGTTTTTATGTTCACCATTGTCATCGCCGTCATCATCAGAACTGAAAAAAGAATATAGTATTACATTGCATGTGATATTAATATGAATTCCATCAAATACTTACACACTGGATGGTCCTCAGACCTTATTTTTGGATGAAAATTATATACATTTTTTGGTAAACTAAATGAATTGTTTCAATATGGTATGAAATGACAAATGCACATACATTAAAATTTACATGTTCATTTTACATGTTAAATTTCAACCTACATACAAAATGAAGCAAAATTTCTCATTTTGTTTTTGGTGCTTTTAGCATGATAATTGACACATGTTAATCCAGAACATTATTAAACAGTAAGGAAATGAAACACTTTTAAACATCTTAATAAAAAACAAATAGTATTTTAAATAAACCTCACAAAAGTCTTTGAAAGAAAACAATTTTAAAAATTTAATATATCAAATTTACTATTTCTTGTCCTCAGTATTGCAACTTTTTTTTCTGGGATTTTTTATTTATATTTTGTTTTCCTGATTTATTTTTTAAAAACATGTGTTAGTTTTCTCGTTTGAATTGTTTTACATTGTCATTTCGGGGCCTTTTATAGCCGACTGTGCAGTAGAGGCTTTGCTCATTGTTGGAGGCCGTATGGTGACCTATAGTTGTTAATTTCGGTGTCATTTTGGTCTTTTGTGGGGAGTAGTTTCATTGGCAATCATACCACATCTTCTTTTTTATATGTACATATTTAATTAAGTATATAAATTTTCAAAAATTGATAATGGAATTGACGAATGTTTCAAAGAGACTGGAAGCGGCTTAGAGAGCCTGTTTTTTAAACAGGTTGATCAATTGATATATATGCTATTTCAAAAAAATAATTATACATAGTACTACATACCTCTGGTCATCATCTGAGGGTTGGTACTCCTCATCACTATCTGCATGGCTGGAAACCTCATCGTCGTCAGAGTTTTGGGCTGAATTGATGTTAGTTGTTGTAGTTACAATACTGGCACATGTACATTTTGTAATGTCATCATCAGTCTGAGTAGCAATTGTACTGTATGTTGCTGAAGGTTGTGTAATTTTAAGATCTGTTTGGTGTTTCCTGGTACGTTGTTGTGGACGGAGGTAGGATTGGCTTTTCTTGTGTTTTACTGCTTTTGGAGATGGTGGTGGAGTTGTCTGTGTAACCATGGTAACTTTGGATGTATTCTTCTCTGTAACAGTGGAGGTTGGCAGTTCTGGTTCTGGTTCTGTGGTACTGTCTGGTACTTGTAGTTGTACACTTTCCGTGTCTCGTTCATAGTTGTCATATGCAAGCTGTTGGATCTGCAAAGAATAAATGTTTGTTGTTAATTTAGTTTTACAGAACTTTAATTACTGTGATAATTAAGACATATAAATACAAGTGAACGTCTTTGGTCACACAATGGTCAATTGCATTTCTGAATAATTATGTGGTCTTAAATTACAATTATAATGAAATCAAAAACATAGAGAAATATACCTAACTTCTTAACTCCATTTTATTTGAGCTTTCATGGATAGTTGTCTGATTAGCAATCAAATTTACCACTAATAAATTGGTTCTTAGATATTAATTTAATAATTTAAATTAGTTAGTTTGCTAAATGTAGCGTTCAAGTTCAAAAGTTTATTATAGTTTATTATAGTCACACCACATACATACATGTATAAACACAATATGAAATATAATGCACATTTTAAAATTTAGAATGCATATATAGAGATCTGTGTAGAAATATATCAGTACTTTATCAATTATTTCACCATAAATCAAGATATATTTCTTAAAAATGTTTGAGTTTAACAGGTAATTGAATTACATTAAATAAGACAAAAAGAGAGGTAATAAATACCTATCACCTAACCAAGTATGTTGGGTGTGAAATTTGAATTACTGAAGCAGCCCCCAATACATGTGTAATAAGTATGACATAACAGGGGAAATATTAAAAGTAATATTTAAAGAAGTTTTGAAACAGTAAAATATATTCATGTCTTTGTCTCCTCCATAATCATCCCATTGAAAATGTTCTAGGAGTACTGATTTTTTTTGTTGTTGTGATATTTGTTATAATGTGTATATCTTCAGTCTATACTTATACATTATCTACTACTCCCAGGTCTGTATCAATTGGATTTATTTGCATTATTTAAGTTACAACTATATTATTCAGCTTCATGTCTTATGCAATATAAAGGCTTGCATACATACACTAGCCAAAATATTTTTTTTTCATTCAAGTCACCTTTTCCATATTTCACCTCAATAACCTTGCATCAATGGTCTATCATTTTGATAGTATGACTTGGCATCTCTTCACAATTTTTTTTATAAAGAAATAAAATGATTTTCCATAAATAAATAAAATAATAAGGGTAAATAATAAAAACTTAATTGCAATACACCTTTTATACATGCCTAATTTTTATTAGAATCTATGTACCTACTGCAGGTTATGTTTTAGTTATGGAGACTGACAGGCATTTAAATTTTTAATTTTCCAGGTTTTTTTTTAATTCTTTTCTTACTTTAAAAACATTTCTTCTTTATTGTCTATTCATTTTGCTTATTATACTCCATTCTTTACAAAGTAAATTCAGCAACCCATTATTTCCTATCCCCCCTTTTTAAGCTGCACTGTCAGTCCTTTTTTTCTCTATTCTGTAAAACTCCATAACCGACAGTCGGGTATTGTTTATTCCAACAGGTAAAACAGATATGCATTACGTAACTTATGTCTGTAACATTTGCTCTAGTCTATTTTCCAACCTCACCTGTGCACCCAGCAGGTGATCATGGATGTACACTGATTCGACGCATATTACGCCATATTGCGTATTACCTATGTCTTATCTATCATCACCTGGGGGCATGACACCTGTAGCTTTCAACTTCAAAAGGTAACCCAGCATTGCGGATAAAGTGTGCCGCATACCTGTAACTTCTGATCGATGTTTATGGATGTATGTCCAATTTCAGTGTACACACCTGCACCTGTGATCAGGTAGTGAGGTACACTAAGGAGGTACACGATACCAAATTTTAAACACTGAGATATATTGAGCTATACACAAATATGACGAAACTAAAAAAAAATAATATTATTAAAAAGGGACGCAAAAAAATATTTGCGAAGATAAAAAAAAAAATATTTACCTCAGCCTTTCTCCGCTTCTCATAAGCTCCCCGCTTAGGTATAGGTGGCCTTGGCTCAGCTGTTGTTGGTTGTGTCAATGGAATGTCAGGTACCGCATTTGGACGGAGTTTTGGCTTCATGGTAGGACAGCCCTCGAGATTCTTCATAACTTCTGGGTCACGATCGTAACATGCATTTGTAAAGTGGGCGGAACAAAGTCTATGACCAGTGCTTGGTAGGAAGTCCCATCTCTTACAATAGTGTGTCCACGCCTTCCTGGTTTGCGGGTTACTCGGAAAACGGAAAAAACTAATTAAACTGTCCTTCTTATACCTATTGTTGCATCCACTGGCAGCACACAGAACCATTTTTAATCACTGTCATGGGTTTTGTTGGAAGATATTCGAAAATGAAATTGCGCTAATTATGCCTTTACACCCGTCAGTCAAATATGATTGATGAAACCACTGACGTCACAGCCTCGTTCTGAGTGACTTCCGGGATTGAAATATGCATAATTAGTATGTCGACAGATCGATACATTTAAATTCATATTTTATCCATTTAAACGATAATTATATTGCTTTCGATGTTTTTTGGGGGGTAATTGGTCCGGGTACACAGTTATCGTCCTTTGATTTTCGTTGTCCACGAATATAGTCCCTAGTGTGGACAGTGTGTTACTTGTCGATTTTTTTTATACCCCTTCCAAATTTATTTCTCCATGTTTTATGACTCAAATAGTAACTAGGGGGGTGAAATGACACTGTAAAAAAAATTGGGTCATGAATTTTAAAGTAAAGTAGTGATTTGGTCCAGCTGAAAAATGTTAAAAATTAGCACTTCGGAAGCTGTCAAAAGATTTGAAGACCCCCTTAACATGAAATTGTCCATATTTTGAGTTAGAGCCGATGAAGTTTTCTATAATTTTGATATAATTTGTCCCAAAAGTAGTACAACACACTGTAAAAATATTATTGAGAAAGCGCAGGTGGGATTTTTTTAATTTTCATTTATTGTCTAAAAGAAATGCACTACGAAATAACTGTGTACTCGGACCTAAGAGGTGAAATCAGGAAATATAGAATCTGTACTTTGGCAACTTCCCTGAATGATTTGATGGTGTCAATTTATCAAATAGCATAAAACTAAAGGATTTAAACTTTTATTTGATGGAATTTCTGAAAAAATGACCAATTTTGGCATTTTATGGTCAAAATAAGCATTTCATAGCTTTTTCAATTTTGATGCATAAGTGGCATTCTGGCTTTCTATCTGACAGGTTTTTATGTGTCAATATTTGTGTTTCTATGCTTCAATCCAGTTGTATTACTCATTTGTGAACTCTGAATCTACAGAAAAGAAGATTATCTCAGACAATATGTGATAAATGTGTTGTATATATGATCCTCGTCTAACGCCCTGTTTGGATCAAGTTCAATGTGAGGAGCTTGGAACATAAAAGTTGAAGTCCATTATAAAGACCTCACTAAATTTGTATAAAAAGCACTTAACAATGTCTTTTGTACCTGTTTTATGTCACATAATATCTTTCTTTTCTTCTGTAGGATAGCAAGTGGTTCAAATATAAGCCTGTTGAGACTAAAATTGCATGCATGTTTTTCACTAAAAAGTGAAAAATCTTTGTATCAGACCATACTGTCTGCAAAAAAAGTTGAATGCAAGAGTCTTTTTGTGCTCAGATTTATTGTATCATGTCACCTGAGTATAGAAATGATAGAAAGGACACAAAATTTTATTTCCTATAGCTTCAATATGCATTTTTAAATGTAAATATGTGATACGGCCTAAATTGACCCTAAATTATTTTCAGTCTTACTTGGCCTAAGACCCTTTTAAACTAATGTGATATGTTATTTGTATGTTTTCTTTCCATTTAAAGTACATTAAATACATATGTAAGGATTATTTATAACCAAAAAGCTTTACAAATTTAAAATTGCTGGAAAATATTACATCTTCATGTAAGGCCCCCCTTCATTGGAAAACCTCTGTTTTTAGCCACAGGCTCATATAAATTTGACTTTTCAATAATTATGATAAGTCTGATAAATCAAATGAGTACTCTATTGCTTTTAATACATAATATATTATATATTAAGGCATTTCAAAAGTATTTTTTTGCAATATTTTAATTTTTTAAGCCCAATTGTTGATAGTTGAAAATTTTCAATTTTAACGTCTAAATTTAACACGCAAAGTTGAATATAGAATTAGTCATATTGTCTATAATATATATCCTATTGCCATGAAACTTTGTAAGCAGTCTTATAATTTAATAAGCTTTGGTCATACCAAGTTTCATTAAGATTGGTCAAATTTTTCCACCCTATTAGGTCCGGGTACACAGTTATCGTCCTTTGATTTTCGTTGTCCACGAATATAGTCCCTAGTGTGGACAGTGTGTTACTTGTCGATTTTTTTTATACCCCTTCCAAATTTATTTCTCCATGTTTTATGACTCAAATAGTAACTAGGGGGGTGAAATGACACTGTAAAAGAAATTGGGTCATGAATTTTAAAGTAAAGTAGTGATTTGGTCCAGCTGAAAAATGTTAAAAATTAGCACTTCGGAAGCTGTCAAAAGATTTGAAGACCCCCTTAACATGAAATTGTCCATATTTTGAGTTAGAGCCGATGAAGTTTTCTATAATTTTGATATAATTTGTCCCAAAAGTAGTACAACACACTGTAAAAATATTATTGAGAAAGCGCAGGTGGGATTTTTTTAATTTTCATTTATTGTCTAAAAGAAATGCACTACGAAATAACTGTGTATACGTACTCGGACCAATTAAGTATAAATAAATATTTATTTCAAAAAAAAAAAAATTAAAAAAAATCATGTCACATCTCCTTTAAAAGCCAGTGCTATGATAATAAGATGTCATTTTGACAATATAAAAATAAGAATATGTGGTATAATTGCCAATGACACAACTCCCCACCAGAAGCCAAATGACATAGATGCCAACAACTAAATGTCACCGTACGGTCTTCAACAATGAGCAAAACTCATACCACATAGTCAGCTAGAAAGGGACCCGAAATGACAAATGTAAAACAATTCAAACGAGAAAACTAACGGCATGATTTGTGTAAATAATGAACGAAAAACAGAAAAACAAAGTTGAAACATTCTGTTAGAACAAAAAACTTCAATATGAATCTCATTTCAGGAACACAAAATCATAGCCTAGAAAAATATCATGACCATATTATTTGATACAATAAGTTCTTATAAAACCTTTCGTATGAGAAAATGGTTTATCGAATATAAGCTTATTTCTTTTGTTGCAGTTAATTTCATGAACTTTTTATTGCTGGATCTTTATCGTCTATGGAATAAACATATCCAAAGATTTTGCGTTTTAGCAGTATTCTGTTTTGTGAAGAAAGGAAAAAAGGATTATATATATATAACAAATTACGGTGATAACTGAATTTTATATCTAGATCAGTTACTTTTATCTATTGTGGGATTATACCTTCTCGCATAAGGAAGACATTTCCCGTTGTAATGTGATCAGTTAACATCTCCTGCAAATCTTTGCAGAAAATAATATTTGTTGACGGTATACATGGTATAACAGTCAGATAATGCATGTTTGTAGTTTTTTCCTATCGAATATATACACTTTGATTTGTCAGAATTGCCCAACGATTTATCCTGAAACCCTTCGGTGTGTTATACGACAAGAAATATCTCAATCGATCTATGCATTATCTACAACACTGAGATCTATTGTGGGATAATATTGACAAAATCTAATAACAATTCTATCGGTTATAAGTCTAAAACGTACGGAATAAGGGTTAAGAAAGACAAACATATACAAACATGGGAATTTTAAATATCGTTCTCTTCGAACAAGATACAAATGAGATAATCAAAATTTCAAATTCTAGTGTTCTTTTAAAATTCAGTTACATGTTTACTAGTTCCAACCCAATTCACGTTGTACGCACATAAAAAAAATAACCAAAAGCTTTTATTGCTGTTCTTCAATCAAATAGATCCGCTGTCCGCTTCCATGAAACCTTTAAAACATTAAATTAAAACGATTAATAAAGTATTTTCTCGATTAAATAAACATGTTTTACATTCGTCATTTCGGGGCCCTTTATCATGTTTATAGCTGACTATGCGGTATGGGTTTTGCTCATTGTTGAAGACCGTACAGTGACCTATAGTTGTTAATTTCTGTGTCATTTTGGTTTATTGTGAAGAGTTGTCTCATTGGCAATCACACCACATCTTACTACATAACTTTAAAGATACTTTTTGCTGGGCTTCGTGTTTGTAAGGTTTTCGTAGTATGTGTTGTGTTTGGTAGACTGTTGTCGTTTCTTTAGTTTTCGACTTATGAGTTTAAATACCACTTTGGTATCTTCCGTCTCCCTTTTATAACGTAAAACCTGTAAGTAATTGTCTATTGCATACTGAACAGAAAATCAGAAACATACATCAAACAAAATCCTACTCATCCGGACAAAACCGACCATCAAGCAAAGAAAAACAACAACAAACAGTACATTCTTCAGATAGCACACATTGTTGGTAACACAACATGTAGCTGGGTAAAACCTATTTTCCTGAAACAAATCTCTCTTTTCAACTATGTAGACCATTGTGATAAAAAAAAAACACTCGTTTAAAGGCATACACAGTCCCACTAACACATATGATACTTTTCTAATAACTTGAGCAAGGTAGTTCAAGAAGTCACAAGAAATCATGTTTACATATATAATGTCTATATCTAAATCTGTACTATCTTAAAGAAGCTTTTGTATTAATACAGCGTTAAACGTATTAATATCGGCTTCTTTTGATCATCTCCTATTGAAATATTCATAGCATAAAATGCGATAATATGAACACCGTTAAAAGTAAAATAACAAAAATACTGAACTCCAAAGAAATTCATAACGTTCCTTATCAAATTGAAAAATCAAAACCAAAACACATCAAACGAATGGAGCACAACGGTCCGTGTATATTTGCGTCCATTCGTTTTTCATTTTGAAATATCAAAAACAAAAAACAATGAACGAGAGTGTTTTCATTTTTCGTTTTTGGTTTCTCAAAAACAAAAACGAAAAACAAAAGTGTTTTCATTTTTCGTTTTTGATTTCTCTAAAACCAAAACGGAAAACGAAAGTGTTTTCATTTTTTGTTTTTAATTTCTCTAAAACCAAAATGAAAATCAAAAGTGTTTCCGTTTTTCGTTTTTGATTTCACTAAACAAGAATTTTGTATTTAATTTTAGTTATTTCTCGTTTTATAATGTACAATGTTTTCCTTTCTTGTTTCACAGTCATTGATAGTAAATAATGCCAATGTGAACACCCCGGTGTTCTTTCAACATAATGTAGACAAAATAGACCGCCTGACTTATGAATTGAACTACGGTGATAAATGAATCAAAGCCTTTCAAATTACCTTGTTTATATCTTTAATAAAAAATAAATTATTATATTTAAATATTAAACGAATCATAAATTTAAATTGTACAATATAATATTATATAAAGATGGTACAAATAAATAGATTGATTACAACATCTCATTAACAAG